AAAAATGCAATTATCATTGTTTTCTTATATATTTAGATAGGTAGATGTGAGGGTGTGTGTGTGTGTATGTGTGCGCACACACACATTTTTTTTTTGAAGAATTGGACTCACTTTTATTTTTTTGGCGGGGGTTGGCAGGTAATTAGGTTTATTCATTTATTTGTTTTAGAAGAGGTACTGGGGATTGAACCCAGGACCTCAAGCATGCTGAGCATGCGCTCTACCACTTGAGCTACACCCTCCCCCCGCACATTCTTTTTATTTCTAACTTTCTGTAGTGACTATTTCTTGCCTTATGACTGGAAAGGTTACTTTAAACCGGTTCTAAAATAGCAACAATCCATCTCCCCAGTGTAGTTTTTTTCCTGGCAGCTGCTCCTTGGGGCTCCATTGCTCTAGCAGTGACTTACTTTCCTCATCATGAGGCCCCCCTGATCCCTGAACTCAGGTCAGACTCTGCATGTGTGTTAGTACAGGGGCATCTGAGAAGAGCCTTGTTCTCTCCTAAGTCCCTTTTGCTGCCGTTAGAAAGAGTGACAGACTGAGACGTTATCCAGAAATGGCTAGTCACCCGGGCAGGCCAGGGCCTTACAGGATGCTAATGCCCTGTAACTAAAGCACCTGGGGCCTGCAGAGGGCAAGTGACCCCCCCGAGACCACAGAGTGAGTTAGACACAAAGCAGTCTCCTAATTCCCTGAGCAGTTTTGTGGCTTTTTTTTTTTTTTTTTTGAGGAAATCTTTGAATCTCACATCAGGGCCGCCAGAATTAGTGTGGTAAGTTCAGAGCCACGTCCACGGTAAGGCTGATGGGTTCTTGCTGGTCTCTCCCCTTTCCCTCCACCAGATCCCAGCCCTGGCCGCTCTTTTCCTTCTCTGTGGATGAAACTAGCACTTATCTTCACCTCGTCTCAGTTTCATGGATTACTTTTTCATTTGCCTCAAGTAGCTCAAGGGGATGACCGTTTCCCCGTTGTGTACGGTGAGAACTGAGGACAGCCTCGCTCCTGAGAGTGTGCTGGCTTACTCAGATGTTGTGTGGTTTGTGAATGCGGCCTGGTGGGAACAGAAGGAACACTGGTCAGGGCCAGTCTCTGGCGTCTGGTCCTGGATCTGCCTCAAACTCACCCTGAAGCCTCAGACAAGTCTCTTCTGCTCTCTGGACTCCAGTTTACCCATCTGAAAATCCTGGCTTTGGATCCAGTCCCTTGAGGATTTTCCAGTGCAAGATACTACAAACTTAGGAAGCAAAATTCTCATGACACTTCCATACCCCTCATCAAATGCTTTCTTTGGCATCTGCCACGTGGCCTACCGACCCTCTTTGTGTGAGGCAGTGCAGTGCGTAGACTAGAAGTGTGGACTCCAGACCCAGACAGAAGGGTTTCAATTCCGACTTCCCTACTTACTAGCTCTATGGTTTGGGCAAGCTACTTGCATCTCTGAGTCTATCTCCTAATTTATAAAATGAGTATATTAATAATTACCACCTAAGGCTGTTGTGAAGATGAACTAAGATGATATATGAAAGTCCCTAGCTTGGAGTGGACATCATTAAAGGGCGTCTGTTGTTACCACTGTTGTCATCCTTTGTCGTAAAGGAGAAAACTTTGTGCATCTCTCTTGGGATTTCTGAGGACAGTAAAGCCATAGATCCTGGGAAAGACTCAGGGTACCAGAAGTGCGCCCCCCGTCTCCTGCTTTGTTTACTAAGAAAATTGCCTGAGAGGGGCAGTGGCAGCAGACATTTTAAAAATCCCAGTTATTTCTAATCCTCTTGAGTACGGCTAAATCACTTGGCATCAGTACTCTGATTAGAAAGAGCATAGCTCAAGAAAAGACACGCTTTCAATATAACAGCAGTCTTTTGGGGGTGAAATGGGATGGGGACAGGGAGTGAGCTTGTAAAGATCAGTCTTGGAAGTCATGTACAGAGCAGTGGGAGGGTGGCCTGCTGCCCCCTCGGCCTCCGTGGCACCCGCACAACCATGTCTGTCTTGCGAAGCCCCCTCTGCCAGGATGCTTGCTTTGCCTTTGAGCTCCAGCACTGAATGCCTGTGCTGTGAGTGACAGTGTCCCCAATGGGAAGAGGATTGCACTTAACGTTGGCAAATGTGGGTTCCATTCCTAGTTCCTATGGCCTCTCCTCTGTGGGACTCGAGGCTGGTTGCCTCATCCTTGAACTTCAGATCCCCACTCCAGCCCCACAGGCACATGCCAGCTGCTCTCCTTTCAGTGCTCTCATTTTAGGAAATGGCCTGAAGCCCAGGAGTCACCTTGGCCCCTTTTCCCTTCACTTTCAGTGTCCAGTTAGTCTGCGAGCCTACAGCTGATAATCGCAACTCTTTTTCTTCATTCCCCCATCTTTTCTACTTAGGCTACAACAGCAGCTTCTGCCTGATCGCCTTTTCTCTAAAGACGCTAGCCCAGGACACTGGTCTGTTTAGATCCTTCTCCCAAGCCTTCTCTGGCCCCGTAGCCTACTGAGAAAACCCTAAGCTCCTTGATTTGGCCCCTGCCTACACTTCTCTGACCCCTTCCAGCTCTTCCTTTGTACCTGAGCCACACTGGACAACCTTCAATTTCCCAAATAAGCCACTCACTGTAAAAATTAGAATTGGGTTTGGCTGCAAGTGACAGAAACACACTGCCCACCTCTCAACAGTAGCTTAACAAAATAAAAATGCATTTCTCATGTAAAAGAATTCCCGGGCTGGGATGGTGTTCCAGAGAGTCAGGAACCCGGGCTTCTACCGCCTTGAGCACCTGCCATTAATACCATATGGCTTCCACTTCATGGTCCTAGACGGCTGCTCAAGCTTCAGCTGTCACATCCACTTTTTGCTAGAGGGAAGAACACGGAAGGGCATGACCCCACCTCTGAGAACAGGTCCTAGAAGTCACACTTGCCAGCGTTTTGTCACATCACCATTCTTAGCTATAAGAGAGGCTGGGAAAGTTTTATTTCAGGTAGTCTGTATTTTAGATAGCCGTGTGCTGAGGAAAACATCAAGTGTTTGTTACCAAGGGAAAAAGAAAGAAGGGCTATTGGGCGTCACCTAGCAGCCTCTGCCATGTGCTCTCACAGCTGGGGGTCTGGTGGTTTCTTCTGTCCGGGTCCTCTTCCCTCTCCTCCGCACTCCCCTGGCTTGGTCTGTTCTTGCCAGTTAACACTCACTCGCCTCATGGCCATCCTCACTCTGACACCCTGTGACTGCCTGGGGGCTCCTCAGCACCCAGTACCACTGCACAAGCTCTGGCCACAGTGGGCCCACTACCAGTATTTCTTGTCTCCAAGATACACCGAGGAAATGAGATCATGGCCTTTAGGCTCCCAGGGCCTTCCTACATCTGGGGGGAGGGACGGGAATGGGGTCCCGAATGACCCTGGGGGATCGTGGCAAACTGCTGTTCTTGGTTGTAGCCAGACCACCCATCTTCCCACAGTCATTCTTCAGATACTGTGGACACTGATTAGGTCTCGGGGGAAGGGTTCTTGCTTTCAATTTCAGTCAATTCTCAATTTGATTTCTGTCATTTTTTCCTCCCAGTTTCCACCTGGCCAATATCATCCCTACCTGCTTTTTTTTTCTCCCCTCTTTACTCTTCTTGTTCTTTATTGTTTAAATAACCGCTTTGTAATTCACACATCATTGAATTCACTATTTTAAGGGATACAATTCAGTGTTCTTTATGTTCACAGAGCTGTGCAACTATCACTACTATTTAATTTTAGAACATTTTCATCACCCCCAAAATAAACCCTACCCGTTAGCAGTAACTCTTTGTATCCCCTCTTCCTAGACCCTGGCAATCACTAATCTATTTTCTGTCTCTAAGGATTTGACTGTTCTGGGTATTTCATATAAATGTAATCATACAACACACCCCATGCTTTTGAAGGTGAGACAGCTGATCTCACATTAGCAGCTTTGTCCCTTAAGAGGGACGTGGCCCCTTTCTGTCTTTCTCACTCATTCCTGTGCCCCGGGACAGTTCCTGTTAGGGCAGGGCACTGTTCTCTGCACTCGCAATGAGAGCACGAAGGCCTGTGGACATAACCCGACTTGCTCGCAGTCACCAGACAGGTGCGTGGCAAAGCCAAGAACTGAACCAGGTCTTTCTTTCACCTTCTGCTACCACACTTTCCTTATTTTCATAAGTAATTTAATATTTTTGTGCATAGTTTCCCCCCCAATTCAGATTCTTTTAGGATAAATGCCAAAAAGTGAAATTGCTGAGTCAAAGGTATAAATATATTTAAGGCTGTTAACACATGTTGTAAAACTGATCCTGTAGGGCTGTCCTATGGAGTCTGATCACAGTCACATTCAGCCCAGGCCAGCCTGGGAGTGTGGGGAGGAGGGGGGCTGTGGCTGGTTCCCCAGCAGGGCACACATGAGCATCACTCCAGCCAGGTGAGGTTCTTGTGTTTAAGGATGCATGTTTTTGCACGTGTCATGGCCCCTACACACAAGCCGACCACTTCATTTGGTGCTCAACCACAGGCACTGCCGTCTGCTCCAGTGCTGCAGAAACCATTGCCTGTACGGGACCCTGAGATGCCCTATGTCCGTCTCCATTGTGCTGTGTAATACCTATGTGCTGGACTTTCTAGGTGATGGAAGGGCTTTCCAGAGATTATTTTGGTTACATGAGATTCTGACTTTAAACTTCACCCCCTAACCCCCATATGAGGTGTGAATGCAGGGGACTATATGCCGAGCCATTTTCACTGTACCTTCACCCCAGTAATCTCAAAGTCTGAGTGGAACCCTTTCAGCTCTATGGCTGATGGTCTGTAACAAAATGTCCTTTCAGGTCCACACAGTTCCGGCCTGCATCTTTGCCTTTTTCTCACTGAAGTTAAGTGTTGGCACCAAAACTGAAGCCTCATGAGGCTCTACGACCTCAGGTGGTACTTGTGATGTGTCAGGTGTTACTACACTCCAGCGTTCACATGTAAATGTCCAGGTGACAGCTTGTCTGTTTCTCCCTGCAGCTGGTCACCACAGAGGGGCACTTCCTCAAGGACACTTTGTACAATGAAGGAATCCTAATTGTGTGGGACCCATCTGTTTACCATTCAGATATCCCAAAGGTAAGTGGGTGTCCACGGGAGATTGGGATTGAGTCGTGTTTGTCTATAGATTTTGCCGAGGTCCTGGGTTTTTAAAGTCATGGCTGACCTGGGCCGTCCCTGCAGGCTGGCTGTTTCCATTTTAGGCTCCTTTCCTCTGGACTAGCTGTTCAGGACTCCTGTCCTGTACCAGTGCTCTCCATGCCCCGCCCTCCACTGCCAAGTATTTGTCTCCTAGTTAATCATGGTCTGTTTCAGGAGGAAAGTGGCTGCGTTTCCCACCATCTGGGGTGGGCTGTGTTCATGTAACACAGAGTCATTCCTGACAAGCGTCAACAGGATGGACAGTGGTTACTATTACTCCTGTACGTCGTGTTACCACACTTGCCCCACACTGCCAATTTCCAGAATGCTTCTCATTTTACTCATAGCAACAAAAGGAAGTGGAGGCCTCGTTGTTCCCATTTTACAGATGGGGAAACTGGAATATGAAGGGGGGTCACCTGTCCTGGGACTTGATTCACTAAGCAGAGGGCCCAGATCCACGTCAGCTCTTCCAGGGAAAGGGACAGAGTCTCAGGCCTGCCGGGTTCTAGCTTCTCCGGAACGGCCCTCTCACTATTACACATGTCAGTTGGCCTCTCCCTCATCTGGGCTGCAGTGACCACAGGAGTCTGGCTTTAGGGAGGAGGGACAGAGAGCACTGTTCTTGGGACACTTAAGCTGGACACATCAATAGCTGACAGGCTCTGGTGGTCCCTCCTCTCGTGGCCTCCGTTTCCAGTTTTGCACTGATCTCACTTCAAACTGAAGTGTGCTTGGGTTGGGATAAGGACTGTGAACCTGCAGATGTGGTAAACTGTGCCCAGTGATCACCTCTTTAAAACTGAGAGGTGGGGACAGATGAGGCCCCAGGCCCCTCTCAGCTCTGATGTCATTCCCAGATTCTATGATCCTGAAGTCTGAAGCTGTTCCAGGGTCACCACGCTCAATTCCCCTTGAGCACAGGCTCCATGCTGAGTCCCCTCTACTATCAAGTGAGAGCTGAGATGTGGAGATGTCTGGAATCTGTTTTGATGAAGGGGCTGTGGCTCAGGATTCATCCTGGGTCCTTCCCCACCTCCCTCCAAGTCCTCAGACAAGGTTGACCGCCGGGGGCAGCAGTGGCACTGGGACATTGCTCTTCTTCAGAAGACTACTTCCTTCTTTTTCAGTGGTACAAGAATCCTGACTACAGTTTCTTTGATAACTTCAAGAGCTATCGTAAGCTGCACCCCGATCAGCCCTTTTATATCCTCAAGCCCCAGATGCCTTGGGAACTGTGGGACATCATTCAGGAAATCTCCCCGGAGGAGATTCAGCCAAATCCCCCGTCCTCTGGGATGCTCGGTGAGTCCAGCCTGGGGAAAGACCTCTCGTGCTTGTTTCTAGAAGAGATTAGCTTTCTTCTGGGGTCTCATTCATGTGTGTGTTTGTTCACCAGACAGTTGCTAGGTTTTTGCTGTGTTTGTACACTGAGGCAAGTTCCAGCTAAGACAGAGATCAGTATGACAGAATGTGTGTCCAGTGGGGGAGTGCAGTCAGATGTCTGAGGCAACATTCAGTTTGTGCCAGGAGGGAGCGACCATCCCAGTGGACCAGGCCTGGTAGAGGGGCGGATCTGCCAGGTGGAGTTGGAGTAAAGGGAAGCACAGACAGGAAGGGGCAGGAAAACAGGAGCAGGGCTGGGACTTGGCTGAGGCAGGTGAGGCGCTCGCCTCAGGTACAATTTAAGGGGGCACCCAAAAATTCAGTAACAAAGAATATCTTAAAAAAATATCAAAATTGTAGATCAGGATAGGATCAGGAATAATGTCAGGCTGAGCTGTATTAGAATCTGAGGGAAAAGGAAGAATCAATATTTTATTCAGAATTTCAAAAATTTGCTCACCCTAGTGACCACCCGAGTCATGGCCCTGAGCAGAGAGTGGAGGCTTTACTGGGTTTGGGGTCACGAATGGGGCTGTGGGCACCAATGTGGGGTGGGCTGAGGGCAGAGTACAGAGGGCCCTGAGTGCTGGCCACGGGCTTTCTTCTGGGATTTTCTCTACACCTCCCAGCCCGTCTGCCCTTCCCTCCCTTGACTTGGAGTCTGGGTGGACCACAGACACGTTCCATGAGGTTCTAGGCCCCGTAGGTGCTGGCCCACCGCAGTGGAGCACTGTCCTGGCCAATGGCCCCGCCACTCACCTTGCCTCCCAGACTGCACACTCACTCCTGGCAGGCGCTGTGTTTGCCTCACCCCTGTGGGCCTGGCACAGGGCAGCCCTGAGGTAGGTGTTCCCTGAATAAATGAACAAATAAACGCATAATATCGGGCACTCCTGAGAGGAAGATGTAAGGGCTCTTTCTCACAGTTTTCTTCAGCTTCTGGATGGGTGCGTTCGGGCTCTCCCTGGAGTCCGTTCAAACAGAAGTCAATCGGAGACACCTGGGAACAAGTTCCTGTTGCCCTCCTGCCCTGCCTTCGCCCAGCTGTGTCCTCCTTGGCCAGTCTGCCCCTCTTGCCCGCTCCTCACGGCCAGAGCCCCTACTGGGCCCCACACCAGTGCTCTGGGAGGCTTATCTGAGCCCCCAGAGGGAGGCTCCCTTCCCTCACTTCTAGAAGCACTTCTACTGTGCTTTCATCAGGTGCAGAGATGTCTTTTCTCCCTCTTTGGACCATGGGCCACCAGAGGTAGGGTTTTTCCCATCTGATTCTTCTGGAACAAAGTTGCTAGCAGTTTACAATTTTTCTATTAGTGAGAACAGTTCCAGAGCCATGGCCCTTCCTCTGTAGTAGGAAGAGTGGGTAGATCACCTGCTTGGGCAGGTGTCTCTGCCTCTTATTTGGTTTGGATCTCAGTGTTCTGCATCAGCTGAGTGCAGCCCCAGGGCCCCCGTCTCCTGGCTGACCAAGCAGAGCCCATCCACACAGACCATGGCATGCTTCTGTGCCAGCTGTCCCTCCTCCTGTGAGGGACAGCCAGTCTTCCCTCCCCACACTACTTCTCCTAGTCCTAGTGTAAGAAACACCTTCTCCCAAAGAGAGAAATGCTGGAGAGAAATACATGCTTGGCGTGGCTCTCCTCTGCCGCCTCGTCCTCTCCCACGTGGCTCACCGACAGTGTTCAGGTCACTGGCTGACAGCGCAGCCCGTCAGTCCATGAGTGTTTAGGGAGGCCCCGCCGTGTACTGGGCCCTGACCTGGGTGCTAAGTGTACGAGGGTGTGTGGGGCTCTGTACCTCGAGGAACAGCCTGCTGGACTGGTGACCAGAAGCACTCAGACTGGGAATCAAAGTCATAAATAGGAACTCTAGACAGACGTCTCCCCACATTTGGGGTCATGAGCAGCTGAGCTCTCTGGGGTGGTCGTCGGGCGGGACTCACCTCTGCTCCCCTCCCCAGGCATCATCATCATGATGACGCTGTGTGACCAGGTGGATATTTATGAGTTCCTTCCCTCCAAGCGCAAGACCGATGTGTGCTACTACTACCAGAAGTTCTTTGACAGTGCCTGCACGATGGGCGCCTACCACCCTCTCCTCTTCGAGAAGAACATGGTGAAGCACCTCAACCGGGGCACAGACGAGGACATTTACCTGCTGGGGAAAGCCACACTGCCTGGCTTCCGGAGCATTCGCTGTGGAGCCTAAGCTCTCTGGCCAGGCTCCCTCATCCTTCTCCATCGGGCTTTTTACAGCTGGACTCTTGGCCACCGTGGCCCGGGGAAGACCGTGTTCCCAGATAATCACAGCCTGCACTCTAGGCCTTCTGGCAGGAGCTCTGGGGCTTCCAGATCCCAAGGGCAGGGACCCAGGCCCAGCCTGAACTTTTGCCACAGGAGTGTGTGAGCCCAGAGCTTGTCACCCCTCACATGTACACACATACCTGCCATTCCTTCCAGACATGGTCTGCCCCTCTTCCCGTACAGGTAAAGGCAGGGTCCGCCTTTCCCACCAGGGCTGCCAACGCTGGGCTGCTTTTCCCACCAGTATAATGGCATTCTCACAAACCAGGGCTCCGCAATGCTTGAAATCTGTGCCTAGACACTGATTTCATGTTGTAAAGAAATTCTCCCAAATTATGATTGTACCCAGTACAGGGTGCCTCTGTGGGGCAAGGACGCTGTATAGGGTCTAGGAAACAGGCTCAGCTGCTCCAGAACAAAGCTGCTCCCGGGGCCATGCCCTGGGAGAGGCAGTGTTCCATCGCTCTGGCAGGTGTGCTGGCCCGTGGCCTGGGTCCATACCAGAGGAGATGAGACTACAGGAAGAAAGATCCGGTCTCCAGCCTCAAGCTGCCCCCAGGTCAGGTAGGAGTCAGTGCTCGGTGAGCTGAGGGCTTCTAGGGTGGTGGGCTTGCTGTGCGTCTGCACGCAGGAGGGACCGCCCACTTTCTGTGTGGTGGGTCACAGAGGGCTTCACGGGGTGGGGGGGGCTATCGAGTGGATTTTAGAAGAGGAAAACATGTCAATTAGATTTTATCTGAGTCATTTGAGATGTGTTTTCCTTTATGACCCATATTTATTCTCTAAGATCTGCCTGAATTTACAGGCTCAAGTGATTTTTTGAGGAAGCCCCCTACTCACGTCTGAGGCAGCAAGTGCAGCTTCACAGCAGGTGCCAGGCCAGCCAGGTGCCAAAACCCTGACTTCCCCAGGCTCGCCTGGCCTGACCCTTTCCTGCAAGCTACGTGTGTGCACCACATCCATCTCTTCCTTTTTGACACCCCCCCCAAACCTCCTCCTAACTGCCATCTCGTTTTTCCCTTTAAAGTAGCCTCCCCACTCCCAAATCACTTTTAAGCCTTTTCCACTTTAAAATATTCTGACCCAATCTCTTTGACCTTCATAAGCCTTCTGTGAAAGGTCTCTCAGGGAGTGGGGATGTGGTCCCCTAGGACTTAAAGTCACTCTCAGAGGTCAGAACCTTGGGAGATCATGACTGATTCTCACCAGGGTATCAGAGTGCCACACCCTCCACCCCTCCTGTGAGGGAGGGACATCAGAGTCTCTGGGCAGGGGGCCTGCCAGCTGTAGTCTGTCCACACACTTCCTGGTGGACCACTGTGCTAAGTCCCCTCCCCTGACGGGGACCCACACTGGACTGGAACAGGCTTCTGGACCCCTGAGGCTCGCCCCATGTGCTCAAGGGCCTTGAATGTTTGAGCTCCAAACCAGCCATTGTGGAGCTGGAGTCCTCTGGCTGCCAAACCACTGGCTTACACGGGCAGTAGAAAAAGCCGTGGAGTGAAGAGCCTTGGGTTTTCAAAGTGATGCTCCCCTATTACTAGCTCTGCTACCACATCTGTAAAATGGGTGGTGAGCCTGCCTCACAGGGCTGTCGTGAGGGTTGCATGAAACACCTGGCACATTGCTGGTGCCCATTACATGCTGGATCCTCCCTTCTTTTACTAGGGACCTGCTCTGTGCTCACATCTGGGCAGCACACTGCTTCAAAGGAGCCCAGAGATGAGGCCCTTTCCTCAGGGAATTAACTGACCTAGTGGGAGACAACAACTACCCTGCTTGGAATACCCAGGAAACCAAGGCAGTGGAGGGTGCACAATGTGCCCGTCCTGCTCCCTGCCTGCAGCCCAGGCCTGATCTGCTTGGGGATGGGCAGGGCATAGGGCTGCAGGTGGCCTCATCTCTGGGCCCACGGATTCCTGGCAGTCTTTGAGTCATGAGCACTGAGTGCAGAGGAAGGTGGCATTCCATCATCAGGAGAGAGATGTTGGTGTGCCCACTGAGACTACACTGGGTAGATGCTAGCTTTTAATTATTATTAAGACAAGGGATCAAATTAATTTAAGTGTGATTCTGAGGGCTATAGGACTTTTTAATTCTGTGCTTTATATGGAAGCTGGTAAAATACAAATAAGATGTGGACATTATTGTTAGACTGGTTAGATGCTAAATACTGTGACAAATAATTTTAAAATTGTGAGTGAGTTCTGTAGGAAAGCCCCTGTCTCTAAGGGGTTCTGTCTTCTTCAGTATCCATCTCTTCATCTTATATCATGAGGCCCTCAAATCCTTCCACCAATCAAATAAGCTATTGATACTGGTTTGGGGTTGAGACGTCAATCTCAGAAACATGCCTAAGTGAATTCTGAATGACCCAAAGATTATGTAAAATTTTAAAATAAATGTTTTTTTAAAAGCTTGTCCCTCTTTCCTTACTTGCTAAGGGAACGAATTCTTATTGTTAATACTTGTCTCCAAAGAGGGCACAGTTGGAATCCTGAATCCCCAAATCCTCCCCCACCAGCTTCTCTGGCCCTCGCCTCTTCTCAGTTCTGCAGGAAAGGAATGCTTACTTACGTGGCAGGACGGCATCTTTGAGATAGCGACAGCTTACTGACTCTTCTTCCTTTTGCTCAGAGTCAAGTAACTAAGCTGCTGTTCATCCAACACCTCTGTGAAGGGCTGCAGTAGGGCAGAAAGCAGAATGAAAGGAAGGTCTTCACCTTGGCTTCCAAAAGCCTAAAACCCTTAAAGGAATGATGTCAAGTCAATGATGTCCCCCTGGAATAGCCAAACTGTTTAGATACAAAGCGTGAAGAGGAGCAGGAGTAAGGGGAGAAAAACTAATTCCTCTATCCTATGAACTGCCCCTGCTATGGGTTGAATATGTCCCCCTAAAATTCAACGAAGGATGTGACCTTTGGACATAGGGTCACTGCAGAAGTAACTGGTTAAGATGAGGTCCTGCTGGAGCAAGGTGGGCCCCTAATCCAACATGACTGGGGTGCTTATAAAAAGGGGGAAATTTGGAGGTAGGCATGCACACAGGAGAACGCCAAGTGAAGAAGACATGAGCAGAGATCGGGGGGATTCTTGTACAAACCAAAGATGGCCAGCGAACCCCCAGAAACTAAGGGAGAGATGTGGGAGATTTTCCTTCACAGCTCTCAGAAGGAACCAACCCTGCTGACACCTTGATCTTGGACTTCTAGCCTCCTGGACCGTGACAACAAATTTCTGCTGTTGAAACCACCCAGTTTGTGGTACTTTGTTATGGCAGCTCTAGTAAATAAAAGTACCCCCCCCACCCCTGCTTGTAACTCCCCACCTACAACAGAGTCCCCTGGATGGGCTGGAAAGAACAGTGAGAGGAACATGGCTGTCTCAGGGCCTAGAGGGAGGGCTCTGGGCCCTGTCCCCAGCCACAGCTCTCGGAAGGACCAGCAAATCCTTGGAGAGCGAGGCTGAACGGGGCCCAGGCAGATGGGACGTTAGGCAGCCTTGAAGAGATCCCATGCCTGGAGAGGCAGAGAAGCAGCTGAGTGAACGCCCCTTCCTGATGAGATGGTGAATGTGGGGCCCCTGAGCAGTGCTGAGAGGCCGGGTACACGGACGACTATACTCCCTGACCCCTACACCTAATGCCTTACGGTTGCAAGTTCCCTGGAACTCAGATGTACCAAGTTAGGTTTCTGCCTGAATCTCAAGAGAATGGGGGCTTAAAATAGGAATGACAGAAAAATAGATTTCAATTAGTTTGGAAACAGACTTGTGCTTGCCAGATTTCCAGTGGCCTTAAGTCTCTGTAGGCCCTGGTGAGTTGGGCCTTGGGGTGGCACTGGGCTTCTCTGGTCAGGTCTGGAGGGGAGCTTCTGCAACCTCCCCAGGCTGTCTTGCCCCAGGTTCCTAGCATGCTACCAGGTATGACAGGGGTGAGGGAGGAAAAATGAGACCCTGGCTCCTCTTGACCACACCAGCCACTCAGAGAAGACATAAGCCACAAAGACGAAGGACAATAGAGAGAGATTCCCCTGCAACCTCCATACCCACCCCACCAAGAGCTCTCCGCACTGACACAAGCCCAGCTCCAGGCTCTCTGTTCTTACAGAATGCGCCACAGCCTGGCCTCGTGCTTCAGCCACTCCAGGAACAGCTCTGCAGCCACAAGCAGGAAGGGGAGAAGGTGCACCAGGACTCTGCCACCCCCACCCTAGTCCCAGCCCCCTGCTCCCCTGTGGCTTTGGTTTCTACTTCCCCTGTGACCCTCGGGGCAGCCTTCCAGGATGTGCTGTGATGTGACGGGGAGTACACTGTGGCCCTAGGAACACTTTCCACTTTATCTGGGGCTGGAATAGTCTAACCCAGAAAATTCACCCCTATGGGCTGGGATAATGGCATCATACCAGGAGAGGAAAAGGTCTCACCTGCACCCATGAAACTCCATCACCCAGTGCTTTCAAGCTGCCATCCATTCCGTCTCAGGACTGACTGGGAAACAAGTTTATAAAGGGAATAGGGATTCCCTTCAGTCCAGCAAGTGCACAGTGAGCACCACTGTGAATGGCACTGGGAGACAGTGACGAAGACTCACAGCACCCGCCCTCCAAGAGCTCAAGAGTCTGGGAGAGTGGGCCCGCCCTGTCTGGGTGTAGTATTATCAGGTTCAAGTGAGAGGACAGAGACACCATTCTCTGGAAAGCTAAACCTGGAAAGTAGGGTTATTGCTGTTAGGCAAGCACTTATGACTACAGAGAAGAAAAATACTATGCAAATGCCAAGTATGGAGGAATGTATGATCATACAAGGTAAAGCACGATAATGAACTCATAGAAAAAAGATTCATTCTGAAAGAGATATGGGGAGCCTTAATGGGTGACAGTCTTGAGGAATAGGCAGGAATATCCTTTTTTTATTTTTTAAGGGAAATGCTTTTTCTGGTTATAAAAGTAATATATATTCATTGTCAAAACACAAAATCATAAAGGGGAAAAGGTCCCATGTCTTCCATCCTATCATCCAAAGATAATCCTACTGACAATGCCCAATTCTATTTTAAAATAGATCTATTTTGTGCAACTAAGACCATGTCCTTTTTTTTTAAATTTAAAAATATATCATAAAAATGCCTCCAGATCATTAACGCAGTTGGCTGTGTCAGGAACCACCCATCCCAGAACCTGGCTCCACCCACTAGTGGGCCAACACCAGCCCTGGGGTCCCCTAAGGCCCCTGCAGCCAGACAGCTCCTGACCTGGTCCCACCCAGACAGGGCCTGGCAACCAGCTGGATCTGGGACCAGCCGCACCTACCAAACTACCCACAGTAGTCAGGAGTTTTCTTTGTTTCTTCTGCTTGGAGTTATTTGAACTTCTTAGATATATGTGTTTATAGTTTCAATCAAATTTGGAAAAATTTTGGCCATGATTTCCTCAAACATTTTTTCTCTTCCTCTCTCTTCTTTGGAAATTCTAATCACATGAATGGTAGGTTGCTTAATGCTGCCCCATAGCTCACTGATGCTCTTTTTATTTTTTAAAACTCTATTTTTCTCCTGTTTTATCTTGGATAGTTCCTGGTATTACATCTTCAGTTTGCCGGTCTTTTCTGCAATGTCAAGTCTGCCGTTAATTCTACCCAAGTATTTTTCATCTGAGATATTGCAGGTTTCATCTTTCCTCTACATTCTTGAAAATATAAAATACACTTTTAGCAACTTTTAATGATCTTATCTACTAATAATACCAACTGTTTTATTTCTGGGTCAGTTTCAGTAGATTTTCCTCCTTTCTATGGGTCGCTTTTTCCTGCTTTTTTTTTTTTCAAGTCCCAGTAATTTTAGACTGGATGCCAGATATAAATATTTTCTTTTTGGGTGCTAAATATTTTTGTAGTCTGATCAATATTTTTGAGTTTTGCTTGGGATGCAAGTAAGTTTCCTGGCAAACCATCTGCTCTTTTTAGATACTGCTCCTAAGCTCTTTTGTTTCTCATTTCTCAGGATCCCTGTTCTTTGTTATCTGACACCCAATGTCTTCAAAACTATTATTCTGCATTTTTTGTAGTTCTTTAGCTATTTCATTCAGGAGGGTAAATCAAGTCTCTTCTACTCTCTCTCGGCAAGAAATGGAAGTATCTCTTCATTAAAAGTTGAAGTGAATAAATATTATAGGAGTTTCACTCACACTGAATCTGGATTCATTCAACCATCTGGCTCTGTCTCAGAGATGGGAGAAGGGATCCTATGGGTCTCTATTTGCTTCATTGGTAAAGAGGCTATAGAAAGGGCCTCATCCAAGGGGGAGGAGACAGAGCTGGGGTGAACCCGCCTCGCTCAAGTTTAAGGGGCCCAGTGGGAGGGGATCAGATGCTGACTGTCCTACAGCCTGTCCTGTGGAACAGGAGGAGAGGACTGTAGTGACAGTATGAGATGACCTTGCAGGTTCTTATTTCCTGAAACGTCTATGGGGTACTGAAAATGCAGTGTGGCGTGCAGTCTGCAGCCTGACAACAATGAACTTGGTGTAAAGGTTGGCAGCAAGAATGGTTGGTGCCTGGCACTGGTGCTCACAGAAGAGGAAAAGAAGAGGAAAGTGATGGCCATCTTGAAGACAGATCCACTTTAGACCAATTCCTCTCAGTCCTCCTTGGGTAGAGCTTTGAGGGGGCTGGAACTGACACACTGTAACTGACTACACTTCAATTAAAAAAGAAAAACAAGGTCAAAGCATCATGTGAAATTTGGGGAAGCAAAGTGGGCTCTGACAGAAAAGTTCCATATGGTTGTGCATGTGTGTGAACAGGCATAGGTCAGCCAGGACGGGAATCAGGGGCAACATTACAGTGGAAGCCGCAAAGTAGTGTGGCTGCTTTGAGTAACTGACTTTTTAAAGACGTTAGCTACAAAAGGGACCCACTCTCTGCGACGTGAGATCTGGTCTATCTCACTGAGGTGATGAGGTCTGCGTTTGCCTCTAGTGACAACATCTCTGCCCCGGAGAGCCTACAGTTGGGCCTGCCCAGAGAGTAAACAGGGTCAGGGCTGAAAGCTCAGGCGCTGGCATCACCCAAAGTTCACACTGTGCTTGCTCAGATGTTTGTTTCTACCTCTTGCCAAAGAAAGACTGAAGGAGTCTTAAAATAGGTGGGGAAAAGTTACATAAAGCTTTTTATCAGGAAGCTCTGAGACCCATTTGTCAAAGGTCTGTCCTGAGGCATGATTAGATAAATGGAAAAGGACCAGTCTCAGGCACAGACATGAAAGCAGCTGAAAGTCCGTTACACCCTGCAGCTAAGGTTGAGACAAAGGCTGTGAACCTTCTTGAATCTCCGTGGAAGCAGATCAAAAGGGAAGTATCTGCTAGGTCTTTACATGAATACCTTTTTTTCCCAACAGGAAATATCCCATTCTTGGAACATACTGCACAGGGAAAGTGGGTGGCCTTGGCAGCACTGAGTAAGAAAGCAGTATTCAACTGAGAGTTCCGGGCGAAAGCAAAAACACAGAGAAGCCCTGAGTAGCCACTTTTACAATAAAGCAATCCAACTGTAGTGGCTTATAGTGCTCCAGGCGGTGCTTACCAAGAGAAGGGAGTTGGCGGTCTGGCCTGTGGTGGCCATGCTGCTCTCACTGTCTGCTATACTGGGCTGGCAGTTAGTAATCTCGGCTCTTTTACCTTCAGTTT